TTGGAGCGATATTACACTCTTTACAATGGAGTTCCTTAATTGAAGTTGGATTCCAAATAAGCAAACTTGGAGATAGATATGTTTCAGGAACTCCAGTTATTTGAAGCTCATTACTTTTAAAAAGTACTGATGACCTTTGATTCTTGCTTTTTTATAACTATCTAATTTTGCTTCAATATATTGAAAAGGTAGAGAATTCATAATACATTGTAATACATTAGACTGAAAGTTTCTGAAATTGACTCTATTTAAAATCAGTATCAAGATAAGACATAAAATGATCCATCTTAAGTAGACATATATGTTTGGTTAAGTAACAGCTTATCAGCTTTATAGTGCTACATATAACTGTATAATTCTTTTCCAATCTGGAAAGCATCTGTGTTTCTTGTCAGTGTTTGGGTTGACAGCAGGTTGACAGATTATTTAGGATTTAAACAGTGGCGTAGCCAGGATTGGGTGACCAGGGGTTCTATTTTTATGTCATTCACAAATCTCCCCCCCCCCCCCCTTCACTGGGATTCCTCAAATAAAAACATTTGTGTGCAGTTTGTACAATTTACACTCCCTACAAATGTTTGGCAATCCCAACTAACCTTCATTAAGTAAACATGGAAATAGACAATTGAATTTGAATTTTATTTAACAAAAATTATGTCTCTATTTACGTTAAACAAAGTCTGAAAGTAATAGACTTTATCAAGAAACCTCTCCCATCGAAATAACAGGACGTATAAATGATTTTTAAAAATGACCTTGTAGCTTTGTAACTTTGTTCACAAAGTAAAATAAACACGCACCTTGCAAAAAAAGTTAGACAACTTAATTATCTGCATCAAAATATTTTTTGGTGACTTTTACTGAATATATATCCTGAAATCTGGTTTGCCCCGAATACACCATTTTTTCGTCTAATTTTTGGAAGACCCTGGAGCATAATTTTTTACCAAGGAATATCAACTATTTCGCACAATTTATTCTTTAACTTCGAAGCTACTTCATCTTGGACAACATTAATCACCCCATGCAATGGCTTATCATTATTTTGCAGGAATATTGTTGGAACCCAGTTAGGATCAAATGCACTTAGTTATTGAAAATTTCGCAGATACCCTCTACTCTGAAAGATCGTTCTTCTATGATAACTTTTCACAACGTTTACACGAAGGCTTTTTAAACTATCCTGGATAGTCGTATAACTGATGAAAACATCTGTTATTTCAATAAGTGAGTCTCGGTTATGCTTTGTTTTTAAAAAAGTTATAAATATTTCTTTGGACGTCCCCGGAGCTGGTAAGTCCCCCGGACCAAATCAACTTCAATTGATAATAAAAACGTTTTGAAGCATATAGGTAGGTCATTTTTAAATACAAGCGACTGTTCGAATATGATAATCATATATCATATCAGACGGCTTGATAACAAAATAGGCCTACATTATTTGAATATTAATACCATATGATTTTTATTGTTTTTTATTATATAATTTATTCGCTAAACATATCATGAATGACATTAACATGCTCCACCAACGTTTGATTTTCGTGAAAATGGAGAGCAAGTACACTAAAACGATAACAATATAAACATTATATAATCTCTAAGATGAGTGGAGTGTATCTGAAAAAACAAAACTTTTTTTTGCAATGGATTGATTTTTCCTTGAAAAAGTGATGGGTAATAAATAATGCTTGTGTTGTGTTTATAATTGCTTTTAAATGATTCATTTCACAACATTTTTATTATTCAACGCAATTGATTTAGAGGATTTGCCAGCCCCTGGGCAAATCCTCTAAGAAATTTTAATTGAAATAAAACAAAACAGAGATGTACACATTTGAAAGAACATGTGTTTCATCAATATCCCGACTATTCCAGATATTCATTCGGGTAAATGTTGTAAAAATCTTTCGGAGTATGGGACGTCTGCTTTGTTTTCAATAACTTTCAATAACTTTGTATTGGACATAACCTGGCTTAAAGCAAAATTCCTACAAAAGACTGATTTAGCCATTGCCCAAGATGATTTATTTTGTCCGAGAAGAAGCAGCTTTTAATAAATGGCGAAATGATTGTTACTTCTAAATGTAAAATCTCATGCCATGGGATCTTCCCAAAATTGAACGATCTAACCCCGTGCCTAAGATTGCCAAACTTCTTGAGAGAAGTGTAACTTCACTATGACATGTTTTTAACAAAATAAGGCTCTCGTGTTCACGATAACAAATATCAATTCATTTACTGGTCATATATGTAGTTCTCAAATTGCAAAGTAATTAATGTATCTGGTTATTGCTATGAATTTTTCCGCAAAATAATATTTTGGGAAATCCCGACCGGGGGTTCGTTCGAACCCACCGAACCCCCGCTGCCTACGGCTATGGATTAGATGTAGGTTATGGGTTTGTCTCATTACTGTAGTCTTGACTGAATTAACTGTTTTCCTCTAGAAGATACTGGCTGATTCAATGTAAATATATAATTCAAAGACAATTTTAAAGAGTTCTTTAAAGTTAAAGTACTGTCAAGTCTGGAGTAAAGTTAAAATTTCTATAATGAAATATAATGTATAAAAATACTATATTGGAATCACTTATATTTTTAGAGACTATGACCATTTCCGCTTACCATTTTTGACTTATATACATGTACCTATCATAGGCGTAGCCAGGAGGGAGGGACTATGACCAATAAAAATAAGAGCTTTAAAATGCATTTTATTTGAAGCTTCTAGCTCAGTATTGAAAGAAATAGCAAAAATTTGGCGATTGCCCCCCCCCCCCCGACTGAAAGCTGGCTTAGCCCCTGCATATATTTGCAATCAAAAAAACATTAGAATGATGTCTTGCTACTGAAGGCAATCAAATACGATTGATTGGAGCATGGACTGCCACGATTTATGTTACAATGTTATCAAGTGACTTTTTGCATTTGTATCACTGCTAGTGAAGTGAGCCCAAAAAGCGGAGGTACGGGGGTTCACCCGAGGTATTTTTAAAAAATCTACACTGTATAAGGTACACTGTATAAGGTACATTCTACATATTTCAACCCCCCCCCCCCTGGTTGCGCTAATGTCTTTTATTTCCACATATCGGATAACATTTAAAAACAGAAATAACATTTTTCAAATTTAAAAGTCCTCAATCAAAATCAAGTATTAAGCAATGCTGTTAATTAAACTCACCAATTCTGACTTTCTGTACCATGTTAAAGTGTGGATGTAACCTGATATTTTAATGGGAGTTGCTAGCAACTTTAAAACTGGCCTTTAAATATACAAGTTTAATGTTAAATGTTGTTCTCAAGTTCGTGTAACTGATACCTACTACTGGTGTGCTCATGTGGCCAGTATGAACACACATATAAAATTTCAATTCAGGGCATAACATTAGTCCTAATCTCTTGTGTCACTGAGATGTTATTAATGGCCAAGCAGGTTTCTGAGATTTAATGTGTTTCATTCATTTCTACAAGAACTCACACATTCTATATATTAAGTCAGTGTTCTCCCCCCCAAAAAATTCCACCTGGGTGCAAGTTTTCAAGTCTGAAAAAATCAGTACTCGCTACGCTCACAATATCTCTGTGTAGGTGCTTACTTAACTCATTTTTTAAATCAGAAGTTGAAGTGCAGGATGCCAACTGGGGGGCCTTTGGTTTCAAGTGGGGGGGGGGTAAAGTGACATGGGGAGATCACTAAGTGATATGATATTTTTAATTTAGTTTATGTTCATAGGATTATCCATACATTCTCATTTATTGATTCTTAATCTTTATTTATGGAATTTCCTGAATCCTTGTAACGAGTATTATTCCTTCTCTGAATAATTTTTGGGTGGTCATTGTAACATTTTAGGCTAGTTGTGGCTGCTATGGGAACATGAACACTTGTGCCCTGGAGAAGCAGCTCAAATGTCTTCATTGATAGGGAATCAATCTTTTGTCTATGTTTTTTTATATTTATTTACCTATCTAAAATATGCAATGTATTAGATCAGATAGACAAAAAATATAACACCTTCATTATGTACAAGCAGCTCATACCCGAACAGAAGAATAAAAATCTGCTCAAATTGATTGATAAAAAATAGGTTTTAAAATGCTCATAAATATTAGATACCTTATACATGCAATACACTGGAGTAATACTACTCAGATAATATTTTGGTTATTTTACCTTGATATTTGAAGACAATTGTTAAATACATATAAATATTAGATTTACAATTGTACTTTTTCGTTACGATGTTAAATTCATTTCATATTCTGTCAATGTTAAATACATATACCTACATATAGATATCTCAAACTGGGAACTGGGGACTGGGGACCAGCTTAGAAGATACATACATACATACATATAACATTCATAGATATCTCAAAATGGGAACTGGGGACTGGGGACCAACTTATAAGATACATACAAATATATATATATACAAACATAGATATCTCAAACTGGGAACTGGGGACTGGGGACCTTCTTCAAAGATACATACAAATACATACATATTATACATGTATATAGCATATAGATATCTCAAACTGGGAACTGGGGACTGGGGACCTGCTTAAAAGATACATACAAATACATACATATTATATATAGCATATAGATATCTCAAACTGGGAACTGGGGACTGGGGACCAGTTTAGAAGATATATACAAATACATACATATATAACATGTATAGAATACACATATATCTCATAAATAAAGCATATTCATATATATCTCAATGTAAGATATTCATGAATTATTGTTATTTAATTAACATATTCCATGCTTGTATATATATCATACATATATGAATACATATAATAATGTATGTATCTATCTAATTTGCATATTCTGTGCTGGCATATAATATACATTTGCATAAATCTGTAGATATATGTATATATGCATAAATATATAGATATATGTATGTATACATATACATATATGTATCTATCTAATTTGCATATTCTGTGCTGGTTTACATGGCCCATAAGCCAAATGAATGACACAGTTACTCTGAAAATATTGTGCAAAATGAATTATAAACCTTTAACTAAAAGCATTTTTATCAGGACTTTTGGATCTGGATACAGACACTTGATGCAAATTTAAAAACATTGGATTTTCACCCCCTCTGACATCAGATTTACATGCTGTATAATCACATAAACCAAGCGAAAATCAATGCAAAGGCTTGCTTATTCCTGTTGTCTTTAAACAGATATTCCTCTATAATTGAGATAAACAAGGATGGGCTAGCTATGGGTTATGATGTTGGCTGTTATAATTTTACTACATGAGTTTCATATACATTTCTCGTTCGGCGGGATAAGCATCCTCATTTTTATCTTCACCGAGTGGATCGATTTCACATTCTTGTTTCACTCTTGTAAACCAGTCTACGAACTCTTCTCCGAGTCCTTCACACAAAACACTGTCTTCTTTTAAGGCAGTAATAGCTTCAGAGAGGGTTTGAGGAAGTTTCTCTCCGTCTTTATCAGCCTCCTTAGGGCGAGGGATTTTATTTAAAACGCCATCTATTCCAGCTGCCAAGGTTGCTGCCATAACGAGGTAGGAATTGCAAGCCCCGGATGGAAGACGGTTTTCAACATATGTTCCCGATTCTCCTGTGTTTTTAACGCGGAATAAGGTGTGGCGGTTCATGATACCCCAGTTGATGATGTCTGGACACCAATGTTGACCCATCCTACGATAGCAATTGACAGTGGGGCAACACAGGGCGGTAATGGCCCGCGAATGCTTCACAAGACCTCCTATCCAATGCCCAGCGAATTCGGATAAGTTGTCATCTTTTGTTGGATCATACATCGGATTTTTGCCTTTACGGTCCCAGAGTGAATGATTAAAATGTGTCCCATTCATTAGATGCCCAGGAAACGGCTTACTCATGAATGTAGCCAGTAAGCCCCTTTTCTGACATATTTCCTTAACTCCATTCTTAAAAATAAATGCAGAGTCAGCAATTTTCATATCTTTCACAGGGCGCATGGTGATTTCAAATTGCCCCGGTCCATATTCGGTTTGGTAGGTTTCTGTATCTACGCCAGCTTTGAGAAGTTCGCTGTCAATTTCGTAAAGAAGAGATTCTTGGGTTGCCATGACTACGCTTGTAAACACATCCAAACCTTCAAAGACCGGCTCGAGTGTTTTCTCATTTAGTACCTGTGTCAAGTATGAGAAATATTGAAAATATGTCAATACAATGTTAAAAATTAAGGATTATATAATTTGTAATACCATGGGGATAAATCTACTGGAGAGAAATATAAAGTGGAATAGATTTGACGAAATGTACCAAAAAATAATATTTCTAAATTACATGTATTTAGGCCTACTCACTTGGAATTCAAATTCGTTTGCCCCCGTGACGGAGAAACCCATATTTGAAAGACGATCTAACTGCCTTCTCGCAACGTATCTAGGACAAGCCTCTTGGTAGCTCCCATCCTCTTTCCAATGTGGCTCGCATATTACCTCCCCAACCTTATACTCTCCACAGCCTAAACAGAGAAACAATCTTAAATGACACATATTAACAGAAAAAACATATTTAAAAGGTCATATAAAGTCATGTTTAAAAAAGGTATCTATGTCAGGGTCACCTGCGGGGTCAGAAATGAATAAAAGGCACATACTAGTAATGAAGAACTGATTTATCTCGCCTCTCGCTGTATATCCGCAATAAATAGTAAATAGTAAATAGTAAAGCCCTAGTCACATTTGCTATGGCGACCGCACAGTCTATCATTTCAGCCGTCAGAAACATATCTTCTCTCGCCGTAGAATTTCTGCGGTCGGGAGGTACATTACTCATCAAAACACTACGGTAGACGCAAGTCAACGTAAGCCCGACGTCCGGCAACTGTGGGAGCGTTCTGCGGTCTGTCACCGGCCTGGTAATTTCTATGGGGATCGCAGAAATGAACAAATATTATATAACTCCGAGTTATAATTTCTACGGCTACCCTGCGGCTCGTAAAAAACTGAATACGCTGCACGGAGACCGCAAGGTGACCGTAGTTTTTCTATGGAGACCGAAGAAATTCACTGATTTAATTGATCTGCGGTCGACCTATGACCAGTCACAAATGTGACTGGGGTGTTAGTCAAGGTCCTTTTTGAATACTTAAAACATCTGATTCAAGAACACCTACATGGTCAGTGTTTGTTACAATGATTAGTAATAAGGGTTGAAGAATCATATAAGTATAAGGCTTCAAAGACAACATGCGAGTTACCCTATTATCACACCAAACTAGTTCTCACTACGTTCTGGAAAACGGGCCGAAACTGTATACGAACATATTGGACCTGTTTGTGGTCTATAAATTACAAACTTCATTGAACATACTCGAACGAGTAAGTGGGCCAGAACCTAGAACATTCTCAAAATGTTCTTGATCATCACATTCTGCAATAAGAACGAGTGACAACGTATTTAAGACGAGCTTGACGTACAACGAACGAGTTCACAATTGTATTCAGGTTTGAACAGAATACTCAATCGGCCGGGCGCCGGGCGATGAATCGCAGCAAACGTGACCCAGTAATAAGAAGGCGTACTGAGGTCACGGGAGGTCATAGGTCGGGTTCTAAGGTACCAAAAGGATCAACAGTCCAATATATGACAGCCACATATTGGGGCCCCCAGACTACAAATAGCAATACGGAGGTCAACTCTACGTTTAAAGCCACATTTAGAGGTCAATACCATATTAAATGTGACTATATTTTACTAAACTTTAACTGCATGTAAACAAAGCATACAATAGTACAATAACGTCATTTCGAAGGGCAATATAGTGAAAAATTGGGCCGAGGGCCGATAGTGAAATATTAGACCGAGGGCCGAAGGCCCAATGTCTAATATTTCACTATATTGCCCGCAGCAATGACGTTATTAGTATAATTACCACCGTTAACGACCAGACTGAAACAGCAAGAAACTTTTACGCACTGAGCGATATCTAATTTCCTGGGGAAAATTGCCAGTCATTAATTGCATTCTTGACCGGCAATATGGACCACCACTATGACGTCACATATTGCTCAGGTCGATTTAGTAAAATGAATGCCTTCTAAACTAGCACTAAAAACCCTAGAACTGGCTCGGCAAGGTGGTAATAATATACAATAATAATGTACATTAGGAAATATATAAGTGGTTTATCCAGGGAATATACATCCTTATGTAGACTGTTTATTATTGGAAAATATAATGATACATGTAGCTTTGGGTCATTGCTACTTTTACATTTATTCAAGGAGTCTCGTGGTCGCACCGATCTCCTCCTTATTGACCCCAGTTGGTTCTTTTAATCTGCATCATGTTAATCAGTTGTGAACATCATCTTTTTACTATTTACAATAGTCAATATTGACTTATTGTCAAAACATCCATATGCTCGTTCTAGAATCTCTATATGCATTCAAATACTCCTAGCATCATTCTGTTTCAGGGCTGAGAAGAAATGAGATGCCATGGTTTATCATGATGCTCTATATGCGTAATTCACATATTCTGTTCTGATTAGCCTTTTGTTATAAAACTATATATAAGATATGGATAAGATATTTCCATATATTTTTCTACATCCATATTAAATTAAAAGTAATGGTCTACTTCGATTATAGTTATAAGGCTCAACCTGAAGGTATAGATTGAACTGCCAAATGGGTTGGATGTAGATTTAGGGCAATGCCAAATGCTGTATTTAAGGTTAATTTTGAGAAACTCTTCTAAGAGTCCTCATGAACTTTTTAGTTATTTACTTTTCAAACTTCTAACAAAACAGAAACAAATTCTAAATTCAGTGCCTATTAAACAGTAATCTTGAGTGTATAACCGAGTACCAGACGTTTGAAGGTGGTATATGATGACAATTTAAAGCAAAGTTGGGTTCAGTCGATACCCTGAGCATTCCTCAACTGTTGTCAAATCATCATGTATCATATTTGGATCATTCTCTGTAATGAAAAATACATCATTTGTTTTCTCTTTTGTTGCTTTTTCAACGTTGACAGCTTCGTCATATTCGGCAGTGCCAAATATTTCCGCTTCCTCGAGTGTCTCTGGAAGACGATTCCCTTTGGTTTCTGGTAATAGAAAAGCAAGCAGTCCGGCCACTAAAGGAAAGAATCCTAGTACAATATAAGGAAGACCATACCATATGCGCCCCATTAGAGGAATCTGAGGGCTTATCAGACCCCCGATACGCCCCATACTTGATCCACTCCCGACACCGACGTTCCTTGCGGGGGTCGGGAAGATTTCACTGCTGTATAAGTATATTACCCTGAACACAATGTTTATGATTATCGTTCCACATACGGCGGCAGCTGTGATTAGACCTGTGATCTTTGTCAACCACAGTGGAATTATAGCTAGTGAAAAAATAGCGTTAGCAATAAGAAAGTATGAAAGGATCGTCTTTCTGCCAATGAAGTAAAGTGATAACCACATGAACAAGACAGCTGGGAATTCCGTGAGACCTCCTATCAAAAGATTGTTCAAGTATACATCCCCTGGAATTATTGTTCCGACATTTAATGACATCGCGTAGCTGCCGAACACAATTGCAAACCATTGGGCCCAGACCAATAGAGTTCGCTTTCTAATTATTGGGCTGCGGAATAAATCTACCATAGTCGCCTGTTTCGCATCACTTTGGTTATCGTTCGTAGCTACCATATCTTTTAAAGAAAACTTCTCGTCCATTTTTACTCTGTTGATTTTTGCAATTTTGCGGGTAATCTCTTCAGCGTCTTTTAGGCGTCCTTTTGAGATGAGCCAACGAGGCGACTCGAACATAAGCAAGATTAAGATAAGTGCTGGAACGACAACGGTGGCTGAAAGTAACTGAAGGTGCTTGTGGTTCCGCACGTAGTACGCCCCAATTGTGAGCGTGACACCCCTCATTACTCTGAACAAACTGCAGCAGAAAAGGCAGCGTGATCGGGACTTGGGTGGCATCATCTCGATGATCAATACCCACAACGGTGTGTAAGCACCCATAGAAAACAGCGTGGAAAGCATGCGTAATACCACAAACAACCAAAAGTTCTCGGCAAACGCCCCTCCAATGATACTCCCGAGTGAGAGAACAAGAAGTCCAAGCGAGGCTCGCTTACGGCCGAATCTATCCGAAATAGCTCCCGATAGAAAGGCACCGAAGCAAAGCCCAGCCATCTGAAATGTAGCAGGTAACGTGAACATCCAGTCCTTGTCGCATACCAGATCGTATTCACTAACAACTGTTGATTCGAATTTATCCGTGTTATACCGCCAAACATTTCTGCATTTTATCCTCGTAGCATTAACGTTCCGCGTCCATTCATTGATTACGTTAACATCTCCCCAGTCCACAGCGCTGTAGTTATAATCATACATCTCACATTTGGCATAAACGGTATCACCAAGTGTGTTTTCAGTTTCGGGGATTGATATAAACTTCTGCATTGTCTCGTTTAGATGGGCAAGCTCTGGCACCGCACACCAATGATCCATTTTCCCTGCTATGAAGTTAGTCAATGAATATTGCCATCCGTTTCCTGAGAAGAAAATATTCCAGGAAATCACCAAGAAGATTTGGTAAAGACCAAACCCACCAACCTTCTCTAGAGTTGCATCAAACGTCATCATAGACTGGTGTGAGCTTAGGTTGATCCTCGCGATCGTTCTGTAGCCTTTAAATGACATTTCGATGTTTTAAAACAATAGAAGTTTGTATCGACAGAAGGACTGACAATATGAATATATTCACATTATGATCATGTACTGATTATCTTAGCATGGCTTGTTACTAGTGCTCGATTACACGGTGTTGTAGCATGACGGTTACGACAAGGCGATTTGCAAAATTTTGCGGTAACGATTACAAAAAATGGCGGATTTGAAAAACAGCATGTCCTTTTTCTCGCCTGTAGGCAAGATTCACAGATAAGATTTCCTTTTCAACTAGTTCCATTCGGTGACGTATATATGGATGGTTATAAAGACTAGGTCAAATCTTCCAGGTGGTTTACTAGAAGCGGAATATAAGCTTTAAACTTACCGACTGATATGTCCAAGAGATGTTCTCAGAGCCACTCAAACTAATAACAGTAAGTAAACTGTGTATAAACAAGCCATAAAATGACAAATTCAGAACAGGAACGTAGTCATATTGTAAATAATAAGGTTTCAAACGCAATGTCGTTAGACGACTACGTATGAATTCTATAGACGGTAACGTATAGTATTAGATTTACATTAGATATTTTGCGAACGGTTACGTGAATGTACATCTTTCAAGTTAAGGTTGCTGGTTCTGATAGCCTCTTTCCATGTTATTGTTATAATGGGTAAGAAATGGAATATTGAATTGCTTATATTTGTTTTCAGGACTCGCAAGAGACGCTCTTGTTTGAGCCTCTATAGGTCAAGGAAAAAATTGTATCTTGCTTTATTTATGAAACCAATTCAAGTCAAAAAGATAGCAATGAAGAAGCAAAAGAAGAATTAGCATCAAGTACTGATGAATATGACAAAATTAATAACAATGAATCTGGGATACATATTTGAACGAGGTTCGCGTAACCGTCAATCAATTTTTGCGTAACCGCAAATTAAAAATACAATATTATGGCTTAAGTAGAACATATTAGGTGGTTTCCAATGCTCAATTGGCTTTTTATGATCGTATGTAGGTTACATCTATATACCCCGAGGTCGTTAGGCAATGTAGACCATGCCCTAATGACAAAAATAAACAAATTACTAAATTTTGTGTAGTTTTGAATTTCAAACTCAACAGTTTTTCGCTTATTTCATGTTATCCCCGGGCATCAATTTGCAAAGAATACGTTCAAGATATACATTACTAAGTGCATCACCGAATGCGATGCATACAGAAATCGTTCATCCTTTCATTGATACACAGTAGAAGAAAATAATGCACCAACTTTAGTTTTCTATTCCAACACGACCATTTTATTGGATAAATCAGTGATCGTAGTCGTCTAATCTCGTTTTCAGAGGTGGCGTAACCGTCATGCTAAAACACCGTGGATAAGGAACCGGAGTAAATAGATTAGTTTTTTGACTGTCCTAACTATGACATATAAGTCACAACAATCTATACAAAACTTAAACTAGTCTAAACTAACTTTTTGAACAAAAACACAATGTCGTTGTGAAATACAAATTAGCATGGCACGATAAAAACAAACCAGTGTAATGTATCATTGTCACAATATTAATCCAATTATTAAACTGAATAAATAAATGTACTTTGATGAATGTAAAATTACATAAGAATTCTTTTGATACATCAGTTTTTCGCACTTTGGAAAAGTTCTATATTATTGTCGTATTGCGCTGATTGGCGTGTGGAAAACGGAAACGTATAGCAATCTTCGTTCCATTGAACACTTTATCGATAGAGAAAATATAAAGTAGATTTTTTAATTGTTGAGAAAGTCATTTCAAAATTAGTTGGTGGCACTTTCTGTGTCACCCTGTAATAATGGTTTGCTACGAGTGAAAACAATATTAAGTATTCAAACACGGCGTTGGTAATACATTTAAGGCATTGGATTCATTCTGGATTGATTATTATTCCTAAAAGGTGTTGTTTTAAACTTTCCACGATACGCGTAGTATCGGGTGCTAACTTTAGGAAATGAATCCCGAGTGGAATGAATCAGCCACAATGCATGATAATTGACACATAAGAGAAAGAGAACTTGAAATAAACGGTGTGTGCTTCATTCCAAATTGGAATATGACAGTTATTTGTCTGTACCGATGGCTCTGTTCTCCACACCACGTGTTTTGGCTGGCTCAGCTTGAGTATAGGGTGTAAAGGTGTCTCAATCAAGGTATCACATTTACATACAATGTGTTTACCACTGGTATTGAATGAACCAATTTCAATTATTCGACTTACATTTCTTTTGATTGATGACATTCTGTCACGTTAAAGATGTTATAAAACCGTTTTACTCGATTAAGGTTATATTTGTCTAATGTACTAGTATATCTTTACTTTGGTCTTTATTCTCTAGTAGTTTGTGACAACAACTTTAAGATTTGGATACTGAAACACTAGCCCAATTTACACTACGCGCAGAATTCCAAGACGTTTTCGGGCTAAAACGTTTTAGAAAAATTAAGTTTACATTAGTAAACTAATAGAGTTTACATTACCATTTTCAAGACGTCTTAGGAAATAAGATCGAATTTACACCTGTTTTCCTAGAACGTCTTAGAGATATGTAGGTATACATGTAAAATGAAAAAAGCAGTTCAGTACTGGTTGAAGGACGGTTCAGTCCATATAGCTATTCCTTTACTGCTTCTATACTTTGTATCCGACTTTGTACTAAAGAATGCATCGGTTTCAGAAAAATATGTCCGAAAGACAGCATTGTTAAAAGCATGAAAGAGAGCAGGAAGATTTTATGCATAAATTAGGATTATTATAAATCGCCAGGCAAATAAGTTCTTCTCAATAATTTTGGGATGATATTGTGAACAAGGGATAAGACAAAATAAAGGACCATGTGACATATGTAAATGGAAAGTTTCAAATGTTTCGTTCGTTTACATTAACATCTCCCCAATCCGCAGCGCTGTAGTTATAAATATAGCAATCTTCGTTCCATTGAACACTTTATCGAGAGAGAAAATATCAAGTAGATTTTTTAATTGTTGAGAAAGTCATTTCAAAATTAGTTGGGCGCATTTTCTGTGTTACCCTGTATGGTTTGCTGCGAGAGAAAACAATATCAAATATTCAAACACGGCGTTGATAATACATTTAAGGCATTGGATTCATTGTGGATTATACGTAGTAATTGACACACAAGAGAAAGAGAACTTGAAATAAACGGTGTGTGCTTCATTCCAAATTGGAATATGAGAGTTATTTGTCTGTACCGATGGCTCTGTTCTCCACACCGCATGTTTTGGCTGGGTCAGCTTGAGTATAGGGTGTAAAGGTGTTTCAATCAAGGTATCACATTTACATACAATGTGTTTACCACTGGTAATGAATGGACCAGTTTCAATTGTTCGACTCACATTTCTTTTGATTGATGACATTCTGTCACGTTAAAGATGTTATAAAATCGTTATACGCGATTAAGGCTATATTCGTCCTCCCTAATACCGTGGTCACATTTGCTCTGATCTAAAACAACGGCGCCCAGCAAATGAGTATTTTGTTCAAATCCAAATGCAAGTTATTGCATAATTTAAGGCTATTTTATCAATTTAATGTCGTGGTCACATTTGCTCCGATTTTCAGCACCGGCGCCCGACCGATGAGTATTTTGTTTAACATAGAATACAATTTTGAACAAAATACTCAATCGGCCGGGCGCCGAAGTAAAAGTCGGAGCAAATGTGACAAGGGCATTAGAAGCATTAATAAACATATAACTATCTGTTTTATCATGGACCTCTTTAAGCGTATTTAGAGCATTAGCACCTTTGAATCTTGGAACAACACACCTGCTACAACATACCTGCCCAAGGGAGAGCGTGCATGGCATCATACCTGCCCAGGGGAGAGCCTGCGTGGTATCATACCTGCCCAGGGGAGAGCGTGCATGGTATCATACCTGCCCAGGGGAGAGCGTGCATGGTATCATACCTGCCCAGGGGAGAGCGTACATGGTATCATACCTGCCCAGGGGAGAAACTGCATGGTATTATACCTGCCCAGGGGAGAGCGTGCATGGTATCATACCTGCCCAGGGGAGAGCGTGCATGGTATCATACCTGCCCTGGGGAGAGCGTGCATGGCATCATACCTGCCCAGGGGAGAGCGTGCATGGTATCATACCTGCCAAGCGGAGAGCGTGCATGGCATCATACCTGCCAAGGGGAGAGCATGTGTTGAATATCATACCTGCCCAGGGAAGAGCGTGCATGGTATCAGGCTCGGCAACAATCAAGGCATCGGGGTCACCTAGGTCCTTGATCTTCTGGATAAACGGCAAGTCTGACCTTGGCCCCGCAGTAAGGATACCGCAATACATCCCTACAAACAAGTAACGTTTTACTTATTTCAATGATTTTACTTATTTTCAGGAAAATCACTGATCTGGACCATATTTTATCAGAAATCAAGTTTTTTCTTTACTTAATTGCCATGTTTTTAGGTAAACATAAATAGTATGCATGTAAACATTAACTCTTTGGACATTGGGCGCCTTGCTTTTTATTATTTTTTGGTGGCTCTACAAAGGTCTTTCGGCTTTCTGGATATCAATTCACATTATTGAGTAATCTACCCCTTGAGCTACGCACCATTCTCGTGTTCATTTTAACATTTGGCATAACTTCTGCATGTTACGTAAATGAATAAATGGAAAGGAATTGAAACAAATTACTTAATTAGTCAATGGAGTATTTTTTCCATTATTGTTACACATCCAATATTAGTACACGTATACTCCCTGTATCACTATAACTAAAAACTCACCCAATCCTTGACGAAGAAATCTAGCTACATGCCTACTTGGGATCGTTTTGTTTCTTGCAATACCATGAAAGTCGGAAATAGTAAACCTGACGTAATCAAACCGGTTGGCAGCATCTTGGAGATCTTCAACTATCGTTGTTCCTTGGAATGGAAACGTATGCGCTGAAAATGATGTAAAAACTCTTAAAAGTGAAATATGGACGTTACTAAAAATGCTATAAAAATTTGGAAATTTGACCAATTACACTGAAATTTGGTATGTGATCTGCAAAATAAATATCCTTTAAGATGACATATAATAATTTTGTTTCCTAAACATCACGTGCTACGTTCTCTGGTTCATGATTCATTCTGATTTATCGGAGTCTCTCTTTAACTTTTTAGCTTGTTAGAGACTATGATTTACCGTTAGAGAAAACATGTTCCTATACCTAGCGCATTCGCCAAATAAATCAGTGGAGGAATGAATTATTGCCTAAGAATGCACCATCTCATTCTCATTCTGATTCTACCCGCTGGCTGATCCAGGAGAGCCCGAGGCCCGCCTTTTTGTGGTCCAAAAAATGTCCTGATTCAAAATACCCCCCTGTTAAGATTCTGGATCCGCCAGTGCTACCATCTGTAAACTTTGTTCCATAAAACTGATATCTAAAAAAACTTTTTTCTGAGTGATTCTTGTTTTTATAGCCTATTATACACCAATGATTAAATTACAGTCTAAAATATTCTCTCTTCTTACTCTTTTCTAATTTAAATTTTATACCGAAATTATCAACATACCAAAGGTACACTTGATTTGTTTGTGAGATAATATTTTGTTTTCTACAAATTTGGATAATGCAAATAACCGGGAAAAAATAGCCGGGAAACCAAAAATAGGTTACTATGCTCCAATACGATTTTTTCATGAAATACGCTCCAATACGATTTTTTCATGTAATACGATTCAATACGATTTTTGTTTCTTCATATTTCCCTGGGAAAACAGTAGTATTATGGAATAATATTATATATTTCTCTCGAACTTAAAGGCCCCCATGAGCGAATCCATTTGGCTAAACGCATTCTTGCAGTAATGTATGTTGTGCACATATCATAGCGTCATAACTGCTTCATTATTCGTTTGGAATAAATTCCCTTATACGAATATTAATGTAACATTTACAAATAAAATTCCCAAATTACAAATACAAATATGATTTATCAAATAAACAAACATATACTAAATTCGGGTGCATTTTATATTTGTAAGGACTAGAAATATTTCTAACTAACAATTTATTATTCGCCAACTACAGCTTACAATTCGTAAATGTCCACAAAATTGCCTGTTATTTTATCGAAGAGATGTATTTTTACCAATAATAATCTTGCATATTACCCATGACTTGTTGCAGAAAGCAAAGGAATATTCGTACATTAGCGAATGATAAAATGAAACTTTACGAATATAAATGTGAGTTTACGAATACAAATGTGAATTAACGAATATAAACTGCAAGTCTCGGTTCAAATGTCACATGACATGTGTGGGGGAGGGGGCGATGACTTTGACCATGGGTTGACCATGTCTCGTTGAGCATGACCACGTGATCTTGATAAACTAATGAAAAACGAATATAAAAGTGCAATTTACGAATACAAATGACAATATTTACGAACAATAAATGTGCACTTTTACGTAAACATATTACATTGTTACGAAAATAAATTCGACAATTAAAAAATAAAAATGCCAAGGCTAGTACTTATTCATTGATAAATTCGACATTCAGTTCGAAGATATCAAATTAATATATTTGCAGAAACAATAATAAAGGTACAAAATGAACTCATTTTATTTGTATACGGATAAACAATGTGTCACTAACAAATGCGTTTAAGGACTTTTGAATGTACAGGGTGTCCCTAAAGTATGGACCCCCCCCCCCCCCTAGGCAGACATATACCAGTGTCGTCATAGTATGTGTCATATATCATTTTAAAGCTTATCCAAAGTTACATTGATTCACCAAGTATCATGGTTCAACTCTCAAATGTATAAAAATTACAAACATTTCAAAATTTAGTGTTTGGTCAAAATTAAGTTCAATTTTACACCAAATCAATAGTCAATGTGTTCTCCCGGGCCATCTTAGCAGCAGCAATTCTTTTTGGATCGGATGGGTATTGAGTTGGAAAAAGAGAACGGTGAGGGTAGAAACTCTAAGGAACTCTTCTAAAGTGCCTTTACAGGTTTTAAGAGGGTTATAAAATTCCACACCCCTATTTAAAGGGCTTTTAAGGTCATATCTGAAAATAATTGCTGCTGTTAACATGGCCAAGGGGGGACTCTTTGACTAGTAATGTGGTGAAAGATTTACTGTGACTTTATTTTGACAAAACACTAACTTTTAAAATAACTGTAACTTTTTCCCATTTCGGTGTTAAACCATGATACTTGGCAAATCAATGTAACTTTGGATAAGCTTTAAAATGATATATGACACATACTATGAGGACACTGGAACATGTCTGCCTAGGGGGGGGGCATACTTTCGGGACACCCTGTATTTCAGTATAAAACATATACATATACGTTTTAACGAAATAAATTAGATTAACGAATATAAAAGGCAAACAATGAATGAAAATACTCAAGTTACGAACATAAATGTGCATTTAACAAGTACAGAAGTTCAATTTACGAATACATATAGTAAAATACGAATAATGAAGCAGAAAACATTATGGTGCATCGTTGGGGTGTTCTTATGTGTAAGTATCCCTTCGGAAAGCTTCGGACGACTTCGGAACCATGCACAAAGATGCGCTTCGATTCGCATTTATCCAATTCGCCGAAGACTGGGCTTAGTGGATTTGTTCATGTGAGGGGGCTTTGAATTATTGTAATTGATCATTGTATAGTTTGTGTTGTGTTATTCATATAACGATTGTGCTGACACATTGTGTTCGGTAATCTCCGGTATCCTTTCGGGGTCTTCCGGTTATGTTAGCCATCTTGGGCATGTGGAAAGATCAGCGGAATATATAATTACGACCATACCCTGATAAATGATGTTATGTTATGTGATAGTTATTAACGCAACATTTTGGACAGTTTCGGATATTCTTGGACAGTTCTGGTTGATGTCACTGGGCCCTTTTGAACATATTCTATTATGTATTGCATTGTCAAATACCTTAAGATGATCTCAGATTGACAATTATGCATAATTCTTAATTGATATAGCCTTTGTCATACTCACAGATTGTGCGCTTGAATTCGACGCCCTTTCCAGATACCTTTGCCATTATTAGTAATCAGCCTTCTTAACTCTCTGTTTGTTTGGTGTACAGTTCTAAAATTTAAAAATGGATTTGAATCGCGATCATGAAATGAAATGACACTTCATTGAAGCAGGATATAAAACGTCTTCTGCAACGCCCTATGCTGTAGTTCCCAAAATTCGAAAAATACCACAAGGTCACCGCACGGCGTGTCCAAGTTTAGCGCGGAGGCTGCAAGTTTTATGTCTCCATAAATTTCAAATATGGCCTGCGGCTGACGTAGCATATTTAACTACTAATAGCACGTGGCTGTGCAAATTCTACAGCGGGTAAATGGTTGCTATTTGGTCGTAGAATTTATTGCAGCCCTCCGTAACAAATTATATGACATGGGCATAAGAATGGGCACATTGTATGCTTACAATTGTAAGCTTACTCGTAACATTTCATCTTATATATATTTTAATATCGAACAGTTCTGAATGAGAGAATTACTTCAAACAATTTATCTCTCTATCCATTATTGCCGCTTTTAGCATTTCTAAGGTAGTTGCAGGTCCAGTACTTTAAATTAAACACACATTTTATGAAATAATAACATTTTTACTTACCTCAATCAGCAGTCATAAAATCCACTGAATACGTGCAACTTATTCCAGGCGCCGAATATATAAACTTAACCAAAACTATAGGTCCGCTAGAAATAGCATAAAACACTGCATATGTATGTAAAACAGGTTTACTACCCAGTTATATGCCCTAGATATGTTTATTATAGTCTATGTGTATACATTTACTCCATTCCTTGTACAAAACTATGCTAAAACGAATATATCAAAATGTAAACATGTGTGGTAGCGTAGCATAATAAATAAACATTATAAGTCTCATTTAGAAGGTAATTATGTTGTGCCAAAAGTTAGGAAAACCTTGATGTCTTACTTATATACTTATTTATATAAAAAAAGTACACCGGCTCGGATTTCTGGTGCCATTGAGGTGTCGTCTCAAATTTTGTTTTTCTGCTATGGTTAAATCAGTGGTTGAGAAAAAGCAGTTTTATTAAAATTTGAGAAAACCATTTCTTAAGGCAGATAAATTTTTTCACTTCCAAAATGAAAAGTCTGTTAAACGCAGGGATGGTTTGGGTTAGGCGGTGGAAAATAATGCGCCTAGAGTTGGATGACTTTAGGAAACAGTCCCTACGAGTTGTCAATAGTTCCGATTCATGTAAATATATCTAGATTATACAAACTCCTGATTTCTATCATTTGAACTTAATGAGAATATTAATCTATGTGAAGTAAAACAATTTTAATTTTCTACCTATCACTTGATTCGTTTAAAACATGATGAGACAATATGAACTATATAAATATTTCCATCATATATTTTATATTTTAGACTCATAATATTAGGGACTTGGTTACATGACCTCTGTCAAGTTCTCAAGTTGAAAAAGAAAGTTGGGAGAAAACTACAGTGTGAATAGTAACTGACGATTATTTCACTGTCAATGCTGGTTACCCAGATTAACCTCTATTCAAACATACAAAACGCGATGCTATTTGAGTAATCAATTATTTGTTGATTTATTCAAATGCAAACAAACGGCCGTCTATTCCCATTTCAATCTTAATTCTATTGTTAACTCTTAACGAGGGCAATATTAAAAAACTAAAACCAAGTAGGCTACAGTATTTTGTGAAAGATACTTGTTGAGAATCATACACATGTCCTACTAATCTGTATACAATTATAAAGCTACAGTATATGTTTTCAAGTTACCAAAGTCATGTTTATATATTTTAATATTTAATTAATCATGAAAATACAATAGTTTAACATTCTCCGTACTCTCTACAAGGAAATTTCAGTTTAGACCTCAAACTAGGGAGTTCATGGTGTCATATGTCGCAGGAAAGAATAGCGTGTAAGGCTGATGAATCTTAGTTTCTGTCCAAGAATCAAAACCATTGCCTTGAACTCAAGGCTCCATATATGTTTAACAGAATACATGAAACGGTCGATAATGTTTGTCTGCCTTTATTTAGCTTACAGGGTCAAATCCAGGTTCTAAGGTCAGACGACATGGCGCATCCATATAATGAATGAGAGGCCAAAATTGAAAGAGATTGACAATAGAGAAGATTACTTTTCTCAAATAAGATATAGCCTAACAAATGTTATTTTTCTAAATCTATCACGGATAAAAAAATTCTATTGATTGAAACAGGTGTTTTATTTCGCGTCATATTTGGTGTGCATACAAGGGGTCTTCACATATCAGAATCTAAAAAACGGTTGTTGGATATTCTACCTCAAATCAAAATAAAATGACTAACAAGAAAGTGTTAATTGCAGTGGATGCTTCAGAGCAGGCTGAGTTCGCTTTCAACTGTAAGTAGACTTGTTGATTGCTTCGTTATAAGGCCAAAGTACTCATAATACTAAGTATAAAATCGAAATTTGTTCAGAAATTGTGGGCGATAATAGATCAAAGCTTCTGTAATTGTAAACAAATATATATGATATGTCCTAATTATTTCATGTGTAGATATGGTGAATAACATGTGTGTATCATTGGTATTTAATGATAAGTGAAAATGGTCAAAAACAACAAATGATAATTAAACCTTGAATGGGATACATAGTTCTAGTACTCGCCTTACATGTACAGTAAGAATTAGTGATACGATGACCTTAGATGGCCTGGAAATCGTGTTTTCGTTTGAACGTTCTATAGATGGTTTGGTTTCAACTCATTTTAGAATTGGGAGGAAACTTGCCACTTAGCATGATATTACCCCTTCAATGTTCATGATCATTATCATTCAGTATTTGACCTTGTTGACTTAAATATGTACATACCAAACATGTCTACAATATTCACTACCAATAACGACAGCGAATAAGCCTTGAAGAGTTTTTCTTAGGATTACTCTACTATTCGTTTTTTCTACTGTAGGGTATTTCGAACATATTCACGGTGAGAACAATGAAGTCGTTCTCGTACATTGTCCTGAAACTCCCAGTCTCCCAGCGTTATCTTTGACACGTAAGTATCAGTGTTTAATTTTATTTAAACTTCTTCATGTTCAAATTTAAAAAATCCAATTGAAATGTGAAAATGACATTTCCACGTAGAAACGTTCAGGTTTTTGTGAAAATACTGAACTACTTTATAGGTGTTACAATATTGCACAGCCCATGTAAGAGAGGGAATACCCCAGCCAGGGTTCAGAGAAGACATATCTTCAATGGAAAGTTAATATAGAGATGACCCATTATCTCGGATTGGTCACATTGACAGGGAATTACGTAAACAAATTCATTTTTAAAACGCTAAATGAGTGTTTACGAATGTGGTTATAACTTATCATTTCACGCCATGATTAAGAAAGATGTAAGGGATATTGTACATCGAGGTGTCTTATTCAGAAACTAGTAGGTGGAAATTCAAATTTGGAAATTATGGGTCATCTCTGAGCTCTGGATTTTCCCTCATCTTGGTCCGCATATTAAATATACTTTATAGATACAAGCTTTTGTAAAATGTCTCTATTTCAGAATCAATCACAGGCTACATTACCATCAGTCAGTTAAAAAAATGAATGAATATTTACACTGTTAGATCATTTTTTTAGATCCAATGAACGTGCCTTATGAAGAGTGGCAAGGTGCTATGGTGAAACAGCACGAAGCAGTCAATAAAATCGAATCCCATTACCAAGCTCAATGCATACATATGAAGGTACATGTACATGGTGCGCGCGCAGAAAGTCTTGTCACGTGATGTCTGAATTGGCCAATCAAACAGTTAACCTTCCTTACCTATTGGTTAGCAAAAAATATTTAGCAAAGCAATTGGAATTTAGTCTTCATTTATGATATAATTCAATAGGCGGCTAGATATATTAGAAGGGGTTATTGTCTGTATTTCAGATATTTAGTGATATGACTTTTAGGGTGACCTGTATAAGTGTTCCTTTTGGGCAAATAGAGAGCTGTCTGTGTAGTAATCTCAAACTTTAAGTTATATGATGATTTGATAATTTGACAAGTTTGTTTTTGTTTATATTATTTTTACTTGATAAATCGCTGATTCAATGACAGAATATTAATCAAATGAGGATAACTTCTAGTTTTGGTATTCAACATTGTTATCGTGTTCCGTTTCCTGCACTCATTGGCCAAAAATAACTTTAAGGTACAATTCGGTGAATTCTGGCCAGTACTCCGTATTGACATTTAAAGACCCCTTCGATCTGTTTGCTGACCAAAAACTTAATAAAAACTCAAATAAAGAGAGAAAAACAATGAGAATATACCAAATGAACGAATCCCCTTTGATATATTTTTATGATCAATATATATCGAGTTCATGTCATCTAAGCTCATGATGAACCGGAAATGGCACAAAATGCATCGGTTAATAAGAGCTGTATCCTATATGAGACTGTAGAACATGAACATGATGTGAGTTGTGACTTACATCATATGCAAGTCATAAGTCGCGAAAACATGAATACGCGAAAAGAAACAAATGTACAAATTCGTGAAAATTGCTCCCTCAAATTCCATGTGTTTTACAGTATGTCGCGATCGCATAGTACACAATGATATTATTTACCAGTTTGTGCTTAATAAATGATAAGCCTTTATCAACATCTGTTTCATAATTATCTTACATATAAGGTTGAAGCTGACTTTTTCAATGATATTGTAAAATGGAACCAGTGCGCTGTATACCTGATATATTAGGCTATGTCATCGAATCAATCATTCAGGCAAGGTCAAATCAATTTTTTATTTTACACATGATTTACAAGTTAAGACGTATTGCTGTTTATTTCATTTGTAAAATCTCACAGCAATGTCACTGTTCCACAACTAGTTACTTTGACGGAACGCCAATGTAACAAAATGGATGAACTTCCTGGTTACGAGTTTTATGTTTTCTCGATTTAAACCTACTTATAAGTATAGTTGCAGATTATAATTTGGCACAACGCTAGAAAATGTAGTTTAGTTTTAATAATATTCTTCGATTTGGAATTTGTTTTGTAAATGAAGTTGCAATTCATATATTTAGCCCCTCGAAAGTCCGTTATATTACCAATGTATATTACTTTGACGACTTACGTCATGAATGTAACAAAAGCGATGGTCTAAATGCAGGAATTGCACTTACACCGAGAGCATTTCTTAAAGCTAGACTATATTGTCTAACTTTGTGCCAAATGATAATCCGCATCATGTCTTATACGTAAGTTTAAATCAGAAAACAAAAAACTCATATCAAGGAAGTTCATCCATTTTGTTACATTGACGTTCCCTCAAAGTAACTAGTTGTGGAACAGTGAATTTGCGCCTCTTATTGCACTGCATGCCCTTTCACATCAGACGGATACAACTCTTTATTAAATTTTTGAGACAAACATCAATGTCAATCAAGAAAAGATGTATACAGTATATTGTTCCAAAGATTGCTGACGGGCAGATATATATTGATCGTAAAATTGTTCTATTTAAGTTTTGAGTTGCTTACGTGTCTGCTTTTGGCGTCTACTAAATGCATTTTGCCACTCCTTTTGTTTTGCAGTTTGTTTGCTATCTACTGAGAAGTGTTGCTATTAGCGCAAATCATTGATTGGCTGATCTGTTTAGCATTCTCCGAGCGCACTCCTCAACTATCATACACTATACGCTATAACTCCCTTCTTCCGGAGAAGATATAACGGGAATAATTCAATAAAGTGCGAGTTAATTGGATTGTGCGTCAATCAAACCCTAAAAATTAATCAATCAAAGGACAACAGCACAAACGTGTATATATTCGTATTTTTAAAATATTCAAATGCTTTGCAAATAATATAACATATGGATGTATTTTATCATATAGTATTTTACCGTGGCCATTTTATTGCACAATCCAACTGACTCGCACTGGAGTGTGTATGCCGTCAGGACACATTGCGTTCGGAATATGCTGTTTACTTGCATTTTTATAGATGAGTACATTGACAAGCACTTGTAGGGAAGTTATCAAAGTATCGATGAACGATGAAAAACTTTAGTAACTTGTCATCCCCTTCTCTCCCTTCAAAGCGTAGGTGATGATAATAAATTCGTTCGTACTTTTTGGTTATTGTCAATTCTTTACATTGCAAAATATCCCACAACCATGAAATTTCCTTTATTGCAAGCAAATTTTTGGGGGAAACACTGGAAGCAAACGATTGCCCATTCCTGACTTTAAGTTTTATCGTAAATTGATACTGCAATTCCTATATACAGGATAAGCCAAAATATGAGTCATTCATTCATCATTCAATTAAACCTTGTCCAATGTTCTTTAATTTTATCAAATTTAATCGATCTACTCCCGTTGGTCACAATTTTATGGCCACTGATTTGCCAAACATGCTTGAAATGCCTAAACAGGCCATACTAATTGGAGTATTTTATTCAAAAATGAATACAATTTTGAATAAAATACTCAATATGCCGGGCGTCGGCCTGTGAATCGGAGCAAATGTGACCTAGGCATAACAGCTTTTGAAACATCGGAACAAGAGATATGTAGAAAGGAGGATGTGAGCCATAACACTAGATGTCTATTCTCTCGTGTAGTGATCATCTTCGCCTGAAATGTCCAAGCTAACATCCAGACTCGACGCCGGCATTTTATTATAGCATATTTTGTAAATGGTAATAAAATAGGGATAGAACAATGAAACTCTCTAGCATGAAAGAACATTGAACAAGATTTAATTTTGACTTTGACAAGTACAAATCAATTAACTCAAATCAATGTTGAATGACTGAGTTATTAAGATTTGCTGGGTTTTTGGCTCACCCTGTAATATTTTATTCAATGTTTGTTGTAGAACATGGTATGTGTTTGTTTGTGATCTGTCTCGTGTTATGCATACACTTATTTGCTTTTGCATTTTTATTTGATATCGCGACTAATAATCCAATTGTGTAACTACTATTGCGTGTAATACGTATATAAGTTGAAAGCAGAACATTGTTTCTGAAATGAAATTGTTGTGCTTTTCGATTATTTGCTATCAAATTAGACTTAAGCTGAAAGTACAATCTGAATTGTCATCTCAGGAGTTCCTAATAATTGTCAAACTTTACAGTTTAGTCTTCAACATTAATTGATAAATAAACCCATACAATAGTAGTCTACTCATATTTTGAAGACTAGAACTGCTGAGGAAGCTTGAATACCACCAAAATATTCGTAATGACCATCTTTCAACGAAATACTTGGTCCAAAGAAAACCTTATAGAAATATTTTTACTAAATTGTTCCACTGCAGGCAACGGAGTATCGAGTTTGAATAATGGCTGCCAATCCTCCTTGTGTTCAGCTGCAACGTTTTGTAATTTCTGCAGTTAATCACGTTTGATTATCACATAAAGCTTGCAATTTATTTCAATAAGATTTAATGTCCATTGCATGACATCTTGTAATACATTCTGTAAAACCATGTTTAGGATATTAATCTTGTAATTATTTCTCAAATCTATAATTCAATCAATCGTGTAGTTCATTCCTTCAGTCCATTGAATATAAATCTGCAGTAATCTCACTATGGGTGTTATCATTTCTGTGTTTGTCCCATTCATGTTGTGATTTATTGGCATGGCAACTCTGCAATGATGCTTCCTTATTAGTATCATCCCTTTAACCCTTCAATTCTAAAGACAAAAAATATTTATAGAATACTGTAGTATATATATGAAATAAATTAGTAAAAAAAATTAAAAGTTAGTATCATCCAATAGGTGTGTAAGTTACATTTTTATTCAGTGCCTCAATTAACAAACACCATCCTGCAGTTTTGTTCAGTCAATAATAAAAAAAAATTAAGCAAGGAGTTCACGCGTCTCGAACCCACGACATCATGGTTGAGGGGACAACGCCTTATATAAACCGTCCCCGACAGACGGTCAGCTTGAACTGTAATATAGTCATACTTATTAGTTACATTCCCCATTATTATTGTGGCATGAGAAAGAGTAACTATGCCTTCCTCTTTTTCTTTGGCATGGCTATCCAGACTCTTCTTGTTGTTGCTAGTACGTCACGCTATGGTTACTATGGAAACAGTTGCAGGTCTGGTGCATGAAATAGCATTGCACCGTACCAAGAAGTATGTAGGTCACTGCTGCTGAACTGATAATACATTGATTAATCATTTTTGAGCTGGATAATAGAACACTACAAAAATTTAGTTACTTGGTTCATATAAGTGTATAGTGTCGGAGATTGTGAGCTCATTTATTTCAACGTACAGTGTAGTGTTTGATCTCACAAATAATGTTATCAGCTTTAATGGGAGTGACTGGATTTTGTAAAGGGGACAGTGTTGCTTTTGTATACAGTGTAGTTACTGTCTACAATTCCTATGCAGTAGCCCTACCCATGACATTTTACCTTCATATTGCCAATTGTGGCTTAAAGAGGGGGGACGACAGTGTTGCTTTTGTATACAGTGTAGTTACTGTCTACAGTTCCTATGCAGTAGCCCTACCCATGACATTTTACCTTCATAATGCCAATTGTGGCTTAAAGAGGGGGAAACCCCGTAAGTTGAGAGCTAATACGTCTGCGGAAGTGATTTTACCCTCTCCCTAATAATACGTCTGCGGAAGTGCTTTTACCTTCTCCCTTATTAATTGTCGTGGTTACAGAGCCACTGCAACTTCCTGCAGCAGAATGGCAGGAGGCCCTAGAACAACAAGTGAAAGATGTTAAGAAGCTACAAGAAGCATATGAACAACGATTTGAACAGATGAAGGTATATTGATGTAAACTGTTAAACTGATGATACGTAAACGTATGTATTCCACATACGTTTGTACGTGTTAAGTTAAGTGCTCGAGAACAGACTACAACGTCAAAACAGTTCGTAAAAACATATGAATATACAAGTATGTATGTGCTAATGCGCTAGCTGCATTTAAAGTGGCACCAAATTTACTTACAATCCAAAACTTAATATCTGCAAAAAGCTTTGAAACAACTGATCAAAAACGTAAGTTATTGAAGATTTCTAGTGCAAAAATGTTAAAATTCATACAAACTGATTATACAGCTTGGACATCTTTTTCAAAAATGATTGCCAAATAATCTTAAAATCAAAGTATTATCAGGAAATAAAGTCAAAATTGTTGGCCCTTTTAAGAAAACTGACAAGGAATGTGAGAAAAAAATTTAAATGTGTGATCTTTCATAGCCCCTGGGGTCGCCCTTTGTTGCCGTTTCATGTGTACAGATCTCGAGCTCTTAACTCCAATTACCAGTTTAACGAACGTATTAATACTGCAGTTTTACATACTGTGATTCTGGTCGGCTGAGACTGTGCATTATTTTCAATATACATGTGCTTTTGTTCGAAAATATATCATGAAATCAAACTTTTGGATCATGTATGGATCGAATTCTAGAACAGGCTTTTAATTCCATCAATTTAATGTTCATTTAGGGGCTTGCCTCCTATCTTTAAGGTAGGCATAATTGTGCTAATTTTGGACCTGTCAGCAAGCTAACAAGGCGAGGTCCATGGTTAATTAGGAGATTACTCGTTTTTCTCTGGCTACCTTAACTGCATGCAAACCACACTCTGTTAATGAACAGTATTACAGCATAAACAGCAATATATAGTACCATTTTTCATGAGTCATTTTTTATAGAAAAATAGTTCCTAGTAGGCATATTGATCAGTGACTAGAAACTGAACTTTTTTAACATTTTTAAAATTATGATATTCACTCATGCAAAACAGCAATCTAACCAATATCAGTTATTCATACAATTATAACTAAGTGTATGATTGTAAAATTGTAGCACTTGTTTTATTTATACATAGCAATAGCTTATTTGCATATATGCCATTAGTCTTCAAGCTTCATGCTTAAGTAGTTTTGTTTTTTTAATACGTGAGAAATATTTGTGTGCTTGCTTGGGCTTATTAATGTTATTTTGCCTTTAAACTGTGGGAATATGTAAAGTACTTGGCATGATAGGTTTACTAAAATACTTCAGTACTTAATTTTATAATTAAGTATACTAGTATTATGCTACTTAGTACTTAAGACATTGTATAATAAGTATTCTAGTTTATATAAGTACTTATTATTAAGATGTGATATAAAATGTATACTTGAAGTATACTAAGTACGTAAGACATAATACTGTAGGTGTATAATAGAGGTCGCTTTTTGTGTTATGTTATATTAACAGTACCTACAATTCTGGTCCCAAATTACCTCAAATTTTTGCAATTTTGCACAATATAGCGTAACCTACAATATACTTTTTTACGAACCTTCTTTTTGTAATTACCAAAGCTTTAAAAAATTCCTCACATGGACTTTAAATCATAGGCCCGGGAACAGATATAAAAATCGATTCTGAAGAAAAAATCTACTTGGGACTCAGACTCACTAAATTATACATGTTCCTGGGCCTGTGCTTTAATACTTGCCTTATGTATTCTAAAAGGGGCAAGTAGGTATGGTGGAATTTAGTTCGGAACTTGTCATGTTATTTACGAGGAAAGATTATTTTGTGCTAATACCTTGATTAAGCTTTTGGTTTTTTCAGAAAATGAATTTTGCAGCAAGTCTGTTGCTTGTTCAAGTTGCAATTACTATGTTTTAAAAACAGCTTTGGGTTATTAGAATCAGTGTTACCATGGGCTTTCAACTAGTCTAGTTGAAAGCCCATGTGTTAGAAACTGTGGTCTTTAATGTTGTATATTCGTAATAAGTCAACATAATTAACTCTTCATTTCGATGGATTAGGCTTAAACTAAAACTAAAAGTATTCGAAATTCAACGTCAACAACGATATCCAATATCAAACATTGAATGCAATATTGATTTAATTTCGACGTATGCTAAACATTCTATATTGTGATCATTCAAATGGTCACTTTGACTTAAATGTATTTATTCGATTAATGTTTTCTTATGTTTAAATCAACAGTGCTTTGTCTATTTAAGAGGAAAATATAGTTTAATTAATAAAAAGGTGCAAGCCGTAGATCAAGCCTCTACCCCTTCCATAATGAACCGTATCGCTAATCAGTGTTACCCCCGTGTGTCACTTGACCATGTGTCTAGGTTTGTTTGTTAATAAGGGATATACAAGAGCTTGAAATACTTAAAAATGTCATCGCAGCAAATTCCATGAAAGAAATATAAAATAACAATTCAAATATTTCTAGGTCAAGCATAGCGTTAAGATAATGCCTCACCAGGGGTCGCCAGGAGCTGCAATAATCAAGATGGCGGAGGATGAAGAGGTCGGGATGATCGTCATGGGGTCAAGAGGTCACGGGAAAATTCGACGTACAATCCTTGGCTCGGTGTCCGACTACGTGCTGCATCACGCCCATGTGCCAGTGATCGTCTGCCCACCTATGAAATAGAGGTGTAATGAACAACTGAACAGTAGATTGTTTGACCAAACCACATACTAGCAATATTTTAGACACTGACTGACGTAGCTCAATTAACTGTTGATATTTAGATTTAGAACTTCTATTGGGAAATATATATATTCTACTCTTTGATATGCCATAAGTCTCATAAGAGTTTAGTCCCCATGTTATTCTCAGTAATGATAAGTCAGTGACCTACATTTGAAATTTCAATATCATGTAAAACTTATGGTTGTGGAACGTACCTGTAATAATCCCTTAGGAAAGTTGTGAATCTCTTATGCTATGCATTCCTGTCAACTTTAATTGGTGACCACTTACAGCTCAAAATATTCTCAGAGACACACTTATATACCCATTTTGAACTATATCTATATACTGTAGATATTAGTATTTTTCTCGTTACCGATAAGGTCTGGGGGTGTTAAGTCAGATTCCATAACCTTAACATATTCAGACGAACACCGTCAGCAACCAAGTTTATAGATTATTTAGTTGACTTGATGTTAAGTATTTTAGTTTTATATGTTTTAAAACACTGCCTTGAATATATGATTCCATTGGCAGCTATCTAATGGTACAACATTTATGAATGAAGACAATTTTTTCATCATGAGTTTTTCGATAGATGTCGCCCTTTTATTTGAAGATTGTTAAACATATGGCTTTTGATTTAGACAGGTCAATTACCAAGGGTGAACAATATAACATATCATAATGCTCAGTAAGCAAATTAAACGTATAGAGTCATCATGAATATACCTTGTTTTCAAAATGAGTAATTCTGTCTGTCTACATGTCTTATTGGTATGTCATTTTCTAATAAGAAGTTCGTCGCATGAGAATAACTTTGTACTATCTCACATTTTTACGGAACTGAGAAATCAAGGTTTGAAAGTTTAGAGGTCTGTATCTTACTTAGTATTGCTATGTGAAACTTGAATTTTTGTATGTCACCTGGTCTCACCCTAGAGATATCTTATATGAAATATCATACCTTGAAACAATTTACAAGATCCTTTTTTAAAACTATGGAAATGGAGTTGATACAATTTCCCACCGGAATAACAGCTTATTTCTAATTTCAAATTGTCATATCTGATATCAACTGTTTCAACCAATCAACTCTCTAAGAATTGGTCATGTGACTTGCAAAACTTGGAGTTATAACAATTTTATATTAAAGGAATATTCCTGGCCAGACCAGTTCTCTCCTAATATGGTAGCTATAACCATATATATACTTTCCATATTTAGCAAAACAGGGAAAAATGTTTTGATGTGGTCAATATTGATCACTTGAAAATGTAGTGCCGAATTCCAGTAGGCTGCCATCTTTTAATATTTCACTCAGGAAGTGATGTCATCGACTCTCAACTTTGCATATAACACTATAAGAAGCTATTAAGAATTACAAAACAAGCTGAATATTCTTTTTCAATTTTGTCTATGATTTAATCCTTCTAAAAGTCTCTTCTTTTATTCTAAGCTGACAAGCTCTGAACATATTTTTGCGCATAAAGTAAGGATCACTCGTCTAGAAGTGATATTTTGCTATTTTCCTATACTGTTATATGCAAGGTCATGAAAGTTGAGAGTCGATGACATCACTTCCTGAGTAAATCTTAAAGGAGCACTACATTTTTAAATTATCAATATTGACTATATTAAAACATTTTCCCATGTTTTGCTAAATACATGTATGGAAAGTATATATATGATTATAGCTATCACATCAGGATAGAAAAGGTTTGGCCAGGAATGTTCCTTTAAAACAAAGTATGCCAATATGCATGTTATTGTATCTAGAATGAAAAATAATGTTTTGCTTTGTAAAAAATCTTCAAAAACCAAAGAATATTATTTAATAAAATAAAGAAAATTCAATTTATAAAACTTTAAAATCAATTTCTCAAATAAGTACAATTATTTCTTAATTTTGGAATCTCAGGACACCCTTCAAAAATAATTTATTGCCTTTGAAACTAAGGCAGAAGTATAAGGCATTGAAACCAATGATGCCAATACGGCCACCCACACATTTCCCTCGGTATAAACCCTGTAGCCTAAACCTCCCAGCACATTACAATGTAGCCCCTAAGGGGCCGGTCCGCTGGTCATTATCAGGTTATTTTTGATACAGACCAGTTGATTTTTTCACTGGGTATAGGAGAATAACATTGCAACTGGTCCGTAATTCCATTTTGACCAGCAGGTTTCAGATCCTTAGGGCCTAAGACATAACCAATTTTTATTACATGCACATGGAAGAAATTTGAAAATAAAAAATAATTTCTAATTCATTTTAGATTAATGAAAGTGATGAAACCTCGATTTAGGTAATCACATTTTGTTCATTGGCATGCAGCTGTCATTATCCATTCATTTTCTGTTGTTTGTTACTCTGTGGAGTACAATTGGGAATTGAAGCAATTGTAGAAGTGGAGACTAAGAGTGGCTCTTTGTAAAGAAATTGAACCAATTTGTTACTTTTCCAAAATAAAATGTAGATGATCTAAAAACAATGATCCCAAAAATGCAAAAGAAAGGACAAATCTGAAAAACATACTAGTAATAAAAAAATAACTAAAAAGATCCCAGATGTTCAGTGAAAAGCGCAAAGTAAATAATAGATGAAGAGAAAATAAAATAAGTGTTTTAAGGGACTATACTCACATAAAGATAACTCCTTATTGATATAGTGTATGGTCAGTAAAAGTTAAAGCTAGTTTAAATAGATTTAGCTTTTTTCCACAAACTATAAAACATCATTTTGAAAGAGATTTCAATAGTATACAGACAGTGATTGCCTTTGAGCAATGTAGTGCAAAATATGACAGTTACTATTTGTTTTGATTACTATATCTAGTATATAACCTATTATTATGTACTCTATTTGAAGAAACAAATAAGTAGTCTTTCATTTTCAACATTTAATGATGACAGCTTCGTATATGCATTTCTATTGCATTTGGCCATTCAAACCCCTATAAGACCTGGTAGCAGGGAAGATAAAGGGTACTTTTGACTGCTCACATGATCTAATTAACTGGTCATTTGTACTTTTCATCTTCCCTGGTAGCAAGGATTTAGGTTTTCGAGGAAATTAGTGATTCTATTTCTATTCTATCATGTGGCCATGAATAATCCAATGAGCATCCATAATACAAAGAGTAATTGAGGGCATATAATTTGAATATGCATGGGATTACACATACTGTATCATTTTATTTTTTTTGATCTACTTGTAATAGTTCTAAAACTAAAACATGAAAGGCCAGGCATGCAAACTGGCATGATATTGTGTTACAAAACATTATTTCATTCTAGATACAATAACATGCATATTGGCATACTTCGTTTTAATATAAGATTGTTATAACTCCAAGTTTTGCAAGTCACATGACCAATTCTTAGAGAGGTGATTGGTTGAAATAGTTGATATCAGATATGACAATTTGAAATTAGAAATAAGCTGTTTGTCTGGAGATGGTACAATTTCACACTGAATTCTAGCTTAATGAGAGGGAATTGAGATGGGGCATGTATCTAAGATGAAAGCCTGTGTTTCAAATAGTAAAATTCCATGTCTATCTCAATTTTTTTGAAAATGGCAGTTAGTACAAAGTTATTCTCACGCGACGAGTTGTTACTCCATCCCGGGTACTCCATATATATAATACACTATAATAATGTTTAGATCAGGTGTTTTGTGAGCTATAATACAGCACCAAATTAAGACTTTACAGGCACAACATCGTCATACATATCAATGAAAAAATAGATGTTAAATAGATGATGAGATTAACATAAAAATTATGTTAGTCTAGGATAGATGGAATGTTAATACCTGTTTGATATAGTCAATTTGCAGCATGTAAAATACTGTATTGCATCTGTTTGTGTTTATTCCTTCTCTTTATTTTCATCCAATCAGTTTACGTTTATGATTCCAAAAACGTTTGGTTTATATGTACATGTATATGGATAATGTGCAATATATTCACGTCTACTACATCACTAAGTTCTGGGAATTGGTCTGTCATTTCAATATTTTTCATCCAATTCAGTTGAAACTTCCAGCAAATGTACATTGTATAATTCTGAATTGACAGACAGTGTTTCATATACATATCACATTTACAATTTATTTTATTGTAATTATAAAGAAAGTAAAAGTGGTCCGCGGGTCAGCAAATTTTGACTGACGACGTTAATTTGAAAATATCCTGCTTAAACATATTCATCTTGCCTAGATGGTTGGTTCAAACTTATTGTACTAGATGAAGAACAGTACTCTTGAAGTCATTTATTCAGAAGTATTCTTCATTGCTGGGAGGATCATTTCATTTATAATGATTTCCATATGCCCAGGCACCCATGCATTGTTGTCAAACCTAGTCCTTAAAGTCGCTTTCCAGTCCTCCCTTTGGTATCCCTTGAACATTTGCTCAAGCTGTTGAGATCAGTCCCTCATCAGAACCAAACTTATGATAATCTCTCATATGATGCTTCAACAGTCAAATTTAGTGAACCTAATGGTGGTTCATATGGTGAACATTATATGGTGAATATGGGACATGAACAACTTTTGTGAACCTTAATTCTTCAAGAGTAGTATGGGCAATTTGAGGAGTGGGAAGAAGCATAGTCATAATGGAAGATAACTCCCCGCTATTTTGAGTCATGATTGTGACTTTGAGAGTCTGACCAATGATAAGAAAATTGAGCAAAGTACAGTCTTATATCACAATACAGATATTATTTTAGAAACTAATAAAATTAGAAATATTTGAAAACATAAAAAATCACAGAAATTTGTCCACCAAATAGGTATTAATTAACCATACTTTTGGATCAAGTAGAATAAAAATGAACTCAAGTTTTGCTTGACCCGCTACACCATTTGTCATGTTGCTATAGTAACAATAATTATCCATTGTGACATCATATGACAATGAGATCATTTTATCCAACCCAAAATTATATTCTCCATTTACCTTGAAAATTTCAAGTAGATTGGTTGAAAAATAATGAAATGACAGATAAATTCCCAGAACTTAGTGATCACCCTGTATATCTTGAATAGGTAATGAATTTGTAAAACATTTTTCATTTATAGAATTGAGAATATTCCTCACTTGTGAATATGATTTTAGTCCAATATGTTGAGAACTGAATACGTTGAAACTTGAAAGGTATCACGTTAAATATAGTTGTTATATCTATAAGTTGGTGTACTTTTTAGAACTTGGTGTGGTGTACTTTTTAGAACTTGGTGTTTCAGTAGCATATCACTATATATGTGTCTGTATGTATACAGCAGGCATAACATTGTAGTGTAAGATA